AAAGTATAACCTTGATACGACAAAATAATTATAAAAAGCCAGATTTAAAAATACTATGTACTGATATAAGTGTCTGTGTATAGTGCTTGTCTTCCTTACATTTTGTTTTGTAAATTTACTTTTCTTTTTAATACAGCCTGTTCAAATGAGGAATACATAATTATTGATAACGAGGGTATGTTTATAGATTTTCTTTAGCACTAATAAAACCTCATGAATAACTATTGTAAATAGCTTTAACCATTAAGTAGCAATGCTTCCAAATGTTCCCCTACTTTATTTTTTGGCCCTGTCTTATGCCAGATTATTTTATTCTGTCTTATGTCATCTGGATTATTTTATTCTGTCAAAGCCAGACTATTTTACTCATTTTAATCATACTTTGATGGGTTAACACAGGTTTCAGTAGATCTTGTAGTGTATGTACATAGTCCAGGATCCATCCATTGTAAGAAAGTTCCAAAATCAATGTGGAATAGTTCATTCATAGAATACCATATATACAGACATCTATAAAAAGTTTGCTTTGTGGTTAGCTTGTGAATAAACAGGAAAATTTGCTAATCAGGCATGGGAAATAGCCATGTGGAGTTTAACTTTTCCACAAACTACATCACAAAGCAGACTTTAAAGGTTTACATTACAATTCAAATACACCAAACTTATTAATTCAATGGTACCTTCAAGAACACCAGTGGGTATTCGGTAGGCTTTACCACTGTTGGGGAAAATCATTTGCTCATCAAGTGTTTAGATGAATAAGAGACAATCTCTCCTCCAACATATGCTGATGACAATATTGAAAGAGGTAATTAATAACTATGCTTTACACACAATAATTTGTCTGGTACAACTTGTATTTTGGCATATGTAATCAAGTGAGCATGCATGAAATGAGTGCATTTAAAATCTCGCCATTAACTAAATACAACTGATTTGTGTCATGATACTAATTCTCATATGCCAGAACACGAATTGTGTACGACAAATTGCTGTGTAGTTGCATGTTTGACATAGAGTAGTTGCATGTTTGACATAGTTGCATGTTTGACATAAAAATAATGTATTATAATATATCACTGTCATTTAAAAACTTTTGACTGAAATAATTTTTAGATCTTGCTAGTGTTATTGAAGATTGCCAATCAGTTTGATACTGGTCCCACTATATTGCAAAAAAGAATAGAACACCTTGAAGAAAATTGCGAAAATATAAGAAAACCAATATTTACCGTTCTTTTGCCCCTCCTTCGTCTCCAACATGTTGCAGATGCACACTTAATGCAGCAGTACTGAGATGCAGAGAATGTGGTGTCCTGCAATATCTTTGTGCACAGTGTGATGATGAGACTCGTTCTTCACAGCCCCTGCATGACCGTGAAGTATGGTTGGATGGATATTTTCAGCATATCCCTCCTACACAGTCAGTGTCATCCAATCAACTGGTCTGTATTGGTAAGTTAGAGTATATGCATTAATCATTTGCATTAAGAAATACAATTACAGGCTACAGTAACCAACACCCTGCTAGTGATCTACTGCTACAGTGTGTAACCACCCAAAGACCAGTGCTTTTATATCATTAAAATAATGTTCCTTTAGAATGGTCGTGTCCCCTGGTTTATCCTTTGTCCTGCCCCTATTGCACACTGCCACTATCAAAACGACAAGCAGTTCTGCTGTACTTTTGATCACATGTCAAGGTTTGTACTGGTCGATTATTAAATTAATGGAATATAATATTGTTGATACACAGGCCTGTAACCTAAAATATATTTTATTGAATAGTGTTATATATGTATGTGATAAGTGTAGTATACCATGATTATGATTCATATTTTGTTTGTTCAAAGGGCGATATGACTTGAACTGGTTTTCTGTCAGTTGTCCATCATGTTTGTGGCAGTGGTCACCTATTTCTGTGGAGTGCATTGTTGGATCTGGTTTTTGGCCTGGAGGCCCAGGTAATGTAAACTATCTGTTTGACCAAAAGGTGTTTAGTCTGTGGGATTCATTCATGAAACGAATGCCTGGTTTGTCACAAACAGCATTCTTACAGAGTTTAAAAGATTTATCTTTGGCAAAAGGAAGGGTGAGTACACTTAAATAGAACATGTGTATAATTTGTTTCCATGTTGTTCCATTGTACTGTGTCTCATGGAAAATGAAGGAATTTATTAGGTTCAGGATATAAATACATCAAGTTACAAGTATAGTTGAATTGGTAATTCTCTACAGAATGTATTTTGATGTAGATATATAATTATTAAAGTTAGTGGAACATTAACAGGGTGTGATAATTCAATATTTTTAGCTGGTAGTTGACTGGTATTTCAACAACTTTTGCTGCGTACTTGAGCTGGTACAAACTTAAGAGTTAAGGAGTACCTACTGTAGGTCTAGTTCCGCATCATGCCTTTTTAATATACATACGTATATATGCACGGTCTATGACGGGAAAAATTATACTCTTTTGAAGTTTATGCATATGTATGATAAA